ACCAACCTTATGGGAGATTCCAGTAAGCAGGGCACAAACCCCATACTAGTTGAGAGCTCTATTCTCAGCTTTCATCAACCAAATATGAAGTGTAAATTCAGGCAATGTAATAGCCTAATCATGGAGTCACAGACATTCCCTTGGGTGCTCTGATCTAACTTGTCATTTAGTCAAGCTTGTCTTTGTGATTAGATGGTCCTTTGCACTAAAAATTACAAGAATGTTCAGGTTATTTCCAGTCCCAAAGAATCAGTTGATCACCCCACATCAGTTGCACCTTAGTTCTCTCACCAATCCTCTAATAAATTGGCTTATGAATATGCATAACTCAAAAGATGCTTTATGCAAAACAGATCATGTAACATCGTTTTAAAATTACAGTCTGCTGAATCTGTATATCCTATTTTTTGTGTAGCTGTCATTCTTGTATGGTTAATGTGAATCTGTTTTTAATTTTGAATGTGCTAATGAGGGCTATTAGTGATACTTTAGGAACTTAATGGCTCAATACTCAGACCAACAACCTTGGAATGGTTTTATTTTTCCTGTGAGCCAAAATTGTGTTTGGTCCTAGAAAGACACATGATCATGACACATGGTTCTGGGCTCCATCTTCAGTCTGGTACTTTTCCATGGGGGTGGAGAGACTGAACAAAGAGTTCCTGCCCTAGGGGAAGTCCATTTAAGGAATAGAAAGCAATCAGGTCTTTGTCTGGGTTTTGATATTGTTCCCTCACCCCGCCCCAGCAGAATCTCTCTGCTGCCATTGGCCAGTTTATGTGAAGCACCTCCAGCACCTGGGTAGTGGCAGGACTGTCCGCAGGCCATTTTTTGCCCACTCTTAGTTTAGGGTAACAAAGTTGCATGTAACGAACTTTTGGTGTATTAGAATTAGAATGTTTTGTTTTATTTCGGCTCAGTAAGGGTACATCTACATAGAAGGTCTTAACTTGAAATAAGCTATGCAAATTGAACTACATTACTTATTTCGAAATTGGGAGAGTCAACACAGCATTTCTATTCTCTGACTTCCCTTACTCATACAGTGAGGGCTACAGGAGTCGGAATAAGAAATCCTTCAGCTTCACAGTATTTTGACATTATTTCAAAATAACTGCCTGCTGTGTAGATGCAGATTAAGTTATTTCGAAATAACATTAGTTATTTCAAAATAATATTGCTGTGTAGACGTACCCTAACTTACTTTGACTCATCAGTTTTCACTTGCAGTCATTTAAATCCTACTTAATAAAAATACTTTCATAATCAAACTCAGTGTAAATAATTACCACCTGGGGGTGGGAGGGAGAGGAGCAACCACTGTGCATGTCTCTTTCATTGATAAGGGAAGGGGGGGGGGGCATCTTGATGAATTTCCTCTGGTGTAAAACTTACATGGTGGTAAGATGGATTTATTTGGGGTTTGAGGGCTATGCTCTTGGGTGTTGTTAAAGGCCTTATCACGGAGTCCTCCCTGAGTTGAACTGGGCTCTTGATATTTCACTCACTAAAACTTACGATAGTGCTCAGCAAGGCTTTCTGTTGGCCCTAAACTTGATTGCCACCAGTTGCATATGCCCATGGATAGAAATAAATGTAACTATAGAAGCTTGTATCTGTATTGGCTCAGGTATGTTTTAGCCATTCTAGTGCAAAATGTTGTAGTCTCATTGGAGCTGGCATTTTAAATTTGGAAGGATTTTTTTCACTTATTTTGGTAGATTATTAGTGTTTTTCACTGTAATAGGTGCTTGATGGCAAGGAGGAAGTTGAAAAGCAGCATCGCGAGAACATTAAACAACTGAACAGTGTGGTAGAGCGACAAGAGAAGGATCTCAGCAGACTTCAGGTCGACACAGAAGAGCTTGAAGAACGGAACCGAAGTGTTCAAGCAGCACTTGACAGTGCATACAAGTAAGTGGATACTTGCATGCGAAAATCAAGAAGTTCACATTTAGAAACTTCTGTGTTAGTGTGTTTAGTTTGTGGTAAAAAAATTACTTGGTAAGCCATCTTGACATGGCATAAACTGTAACGGTCATTTCTGTTTAATTTGAATTTTATAGTATAGAAATCCAGTGTCTTTAATGCTTGGCTTGTAGGGACCTTACTGATCTTCACAAAGCTAATGCTACAAAGGATAGTGAAGCACAAGAAGCAGCATTAAGTCATGAATTGAAAGCTAAGGAGGAACTTGGATTAGCTCTGGAGAAGGCCCAAGATGAAGCCCGCCAGCAGCAAGAGGCTTTAGCAATTCAGGTGAGCTTTAAATGTGGTGCTGAAATATTTCTTTTCTAACTTGAGAGTATACTTTGGGCTAGTGGATAATGTGCTCCACTGAAGAGAACCAGGCGTGTTGTGACCTGGTTATTAAAATTCTTCTAAATACAGCTTTTGTCAAAAACAGCTTAAAAATACTTAACAAATAAGCACTACTGTTTTGTAACCTATTAAATAAAAAATGGTGTGAACACCAGATAAGTCATAAATTCAATTAATAATGGGGCAGAATATAGGAGGAGAAAAGTCACTGTGTGAAACCACTTGTCCAAAGTTGTTACCTTTATTTTAAATGTGTTTATCTTGTCTAAACTTATTATAATTTTGGTAGTAAGCCATAGTTAGTGTTTGTGCCATTCTCTTACTGTGTGGCTAAATGTTACTGCCTTGAACTGTACATTTATATTACTAGTCAGTGGTTGGATAAACTTGTGAAACTGTTCTGCACTTTGTCTCGATGGCTGTTCATAGTTCAGCAGTATAACTCAAATTGGAGTCACCAGTGCAATATTCAAGTGGCTGTAGCAGTGACAAGTAGAAATTAAAATTCTTTATTAGGAATTAGTGAA